TTTTAAAATGTGTATTTACCTTTGAGAGAGACAGACAGACAGAGCCCAAGCAGGGGAGGAGCAGAGAGAGAGGCAGACACAGAATCCGAAGCAGGCTCTAGGCTCTGAGCTGTCAGCACAGTGCTCGACGCGGGGCTTGAACTCATGAACCTTGAGATCATGACCTGAGTCGGTCGGATGCTCAACCGACTGAGCCACCCAGGCACCTCCAAAGCCCTTCCCTCCTGCGGTTCAGTGTTACTGGAACCTTCCTGATGGACTGAGTCTAACCTGAAGACTATGGGCAGGAGAAGACACCAAAGGCCCTTGAGAAGGAACTCATTATGATCAAGGGGGAGGTTACCCACCCTAAATGGAAAGGGTGGCAGGGGCTGTCTTGTTTAGTATAGCGTGTGGGAGAGGCTGGAAACCCTTCTGGCCAAGCCCCTTGTGGCCTTGACACGAGTTCACCAGGGATGCTAAGCAGCAGACGGAGCAACAGTGGCAGAAGACTGAGGCCCCCTAGTGGTAAGTCTTGGCAATTCTCTGACACAAGGGCAGTTAGAAGGTGGTATTTGTATACCAAGGGCGGGGGAGGACCAGTGATACTGTTTGCATTTGTAGATTTCCCCTCCACCCCTTAATAATCCATTTTAAAGTGTTCCATTCAGCCCCTAAATATCCACCCTTATCATTGCAGAGAAGTGGCAGGGTTTTTCTTTTTCTTTTCCTTAAATTTTTATTATGGTTTTATTTTTATTTTGAGAGACAGAGACAGAGAGAGACAGAGAGAGAGTGGGGGAGGGGCAGAGAGAGAGGGAGACACAGAGTCTGAAGCAGGTTCCAGGCTCTGAGCTGTCAGCACAGAGCCTGACGCGGGGCTCGAACCCACAGACTGAGAGATCATGACCTGAGCAGAAGCCGGACGCTTAACCGACTGAGCCACCCAGGTGCCCCAGCAGGGTTTTTCTTTAACAAATTCTAGATAAAACTCTCGTGTATGATCCCTCACCCCTCTGATCTAGCCTGAGTAGATTCTCTTCTCTTATTTTTTTCTCCTCTCTATTTTTCACATAATTATGTAATCTAATTAATGTCTATTTTCCTCTTCAGCAAGTCAGCTTCGGGGGACAGGGATTGTTTGTCGTGTTTATTGCTGGATCCTTGGCCTCTAAAATAGTATCGGGCATTCATTCATTAAGCTGACAAATCGCTGGGACGTGGCCCTCCACTAGGTGGGCGGGGCGGGGGGATAGCAGTTTACACCCACATTTCCACCCCGAACCAAACAGTGCCAAAACTGACACTGTTCTTAGGGAACTTCTGTTGGGGGGTGGGGGCAGAGACGGAGAACAAACAGGAATGTGCTATGGTGAGTGGTGGTGGGTGCTCAGCGTATAATGAAGCCGGGTAAGGAGCTCCCGCCCCAGGCAGCTTCCTCTGATCCCTTGATATCTGAGCAGAGACCTGAAGGAAGGGAGGGAGGGGGCTCCGGGGAGATGTGGGAGAGTCCCCCAATCTACTCAGCTACAGGCCCTGAGGAGAGAGCACGCCAGGCCATCCTAAGGGCCAGTGTGGCTGGGAGGCAGCACAGGGGAGGGGAGGTGGGGATGGGGTGGGACTTTGGAGGCCACCCTGAGGACTACGCAGCCAGTGCCCCACAGCCCAGAGAACTCTGAATCCTCCGGTTTCTGTCTTCAGTAAGCTCCCGACACCCCCCAAACTTGGTGAGCTTCCCAGTTATGTACTTCCCCAGCACCCGGCCTTATATGTCTGTCTCCATCGTCCCATCGCTGGCTGCCTGAGGACAAGGACGCCATCTGTCCTGCTCACTGCTGTATCCGGGGCTCCTAGTAGGAAGCCTGGGACACAGAATGTGCTCGGTAAATATTTGCTGGGTGATGACTGGGTGAATCAGCCTACTCTGTTCCTCTGGGCTCTTGCTTCTATTTTCTGCCCAGTCTGAAGGGCTCCAAGGTGAAGGTGGACCCCAGGCTGGGGACAACTCACCGCCCCTTCCCTCCCAGAACCGGGCCCCTCTTCTCATCGCCTTCAAGCCCTGGCCTGGGCCTACTCCAGGCTTGAGAGGCACAGGAGGCCTGAAATAGTTGCTCTCAGGCTCTGCAGATCCCCCCCTCCCCACTCAGAAAGTCTGTCGAGTTTTCAGTTCAAGAGTGATTCTGTGTGCCCTCTCCCTACTCCGTCTGTGTCTGAGACAAGACAGCCACCCAGTGGTGATTTTTCTAGACTTTTGTTTATTTTATAGCAATTGTCATGATTAGAGAAGTAAATAACACATTTAAAAACCTTCTCAGGGCCAAAGGATGCCAGAATATTTACAAACACATTGGGGAGGGGGGTGGCAAGACACGAGGGGCCGGGGTTCCGCCCAGGCCCTGAGCCAGGCTTGGGTGCTGATGCCAGCCACCAGGACTGTCCCACCGGCCACAGCACGGGCTCAGGGAGCACCGGCAGGCATGGGGCTCTGCTCAGTGGGCCTGACGGCAGGCCCTCTAGCTACCCTGTGGCCCCGCCTCCTGCCCAGGGGGCTCCCCACACCCCACAGGCCAGCTCAGAGGGGCCTCTGGGAAGCACCGAAGGACAGGGTCAGTAAGGAGGGACAGGAGCTGTGACAGAGATTGGGGATGACCCGGCCTGCCCGGGATGGGACACACACACACACACACACGCACACACACATACCTTCACAGAAGAATCGCAAGGGGAAGATTTTTTGTGTGTGTTTTTTGTCCTCTAAGTCTGCGTGTCTACGGTGTTATTAATTTTTTGCTATTTGTTTCTTCGACAGTGACATAAACTGAGGTAAACATCTGTGACCAACACCTCTCCTAAGGGGCAAAGGGTCCCAGCCCAACTAGCAGAGGTGGTGGTGGTGGCGGCGGCGGCGGCGCAGGGCCCCGATGGCCAAGGAGCAGGCCTAGCCCCGGTCCTGGCCCCGCGTCGGGCCGTCGCTGCCCCTCTCTGTGCCTCTGAAAACCAGGGGCTGGGCTACATAACTACAGTCCCCTTCCCGACTCTAACATTCTAGATACTACGACGAGGGAGAAGCTCCCGAACAGGATCTTAACAGAGAAAGAGAGAGAGAGAGGGCGCACGGCGAGGGACATCTACTTGGAATCTTGCTTCCTTGTTATTGCAGGAGACGGGATGTCGAGAGGCCTAAGGCAAAAGGAGAAGTCGCGGCTGGGAGAGAGAGGTGGCTCCAGGTGGGCCAGGGGCAGTGACGGGGGGCCTTCTCTGAAACTTGGCCCTTGGTGGGAGGAGGGTTTGCTACTTACCTGGCATGTGGAGGGCCCCAGGGCCCACTGGAGAGATGGGTCTCAGGAAGGGCGGGCGCACCGAGGAGCGTGGGGCCAGGCCCTGGGGCAACCACAGTTTGTAAACTGGACCCGGGCAGGGCAGGGGGACCTATAGCCCTTTTGCACGATGGGAATGAGGGATGCGGGGGCGGGGGGGGGGGTCCAGGCCAGAGGATGGTCAGGTCCTCTCTGGCCAGCCTGGCTCATCAGAGAGCCCCCTAGAATGGCCCAGATCCCCAGTAGGACCCTGGCGGGTGCAGCCTAGGCTGGTGGACTGGACGCTGTCAGGCAGAAGGAGCAGCCTCGCCCCTAGAGAGGTTATTGCGGGGTCCCAGGCCTCCAGAGAGAGGGCAGGGTCCATGGGGGAACACTGGGTGAGCCAGGGAGCCTGTTTTGCTGCCGGGGGTGCCTGAACCGGCCCGCAGGTGCCTCCTTGTCAGATTCCCTGAGGGGCGGGTGAAGCACAGGCCAGGGCGCCCTCTGGCAGCTGCCTGGGGAAGATCCTGGGGCAGGGCGATCTCCCAGGCGTCTGGATGCAGTTACCGAACACACAGGACGCACGCATACACGCACACTCTACTCACACTCACACCGCACACACGCCTACTCACACACTCACCCCCCTCGCGTTTCCATGGACCCCACAGCGGCATACTCCAGGACCAGGGACCTGGGGCACACGCGGATGGGGGCGGCTCCAGGCCGGCATGTTGGTCTTCAGCAGAAACCCGGGGGAATTCCTGGCACTTGTCACCTCGCCGCCTGCCAGGAGTCCAGGCCACCGTGTCCGGGCTCGGGGAGGCAGGACCGAGGATCGGAGGTGCCCGGGCCTGGGGAAGGTGCGGCCAGCAGGGGGAGCTGGGCCGGCCCTAGGCTCGGCGCTCACTCCCTTTGCCCTAGGGATGCGGGGGTGGGGGGTGGGGGTAGGGAGGGGGCGGGGCGAGGGCAGCCGAGGCCCCGCCCCGGCAGTCCGGCAGTCACGAGTGCGCCGGACAATCCCTGGGGAGGAGGCGTAGGGCTTCTAGAGCGCCACCGCTTAGGGGCAGTGCGGCTCCAGGCCAGTCGCCCTCCTCCTGTGCTCAGTGTCCTCATCCGGGGAATGGGTTCGCGGGGAGTCACTGGATTCTTCGGGTCCGTGCCTGCACACACACACTTTTGCAACATCCAGACATTTGCTACATTTTGCAGAGAGCTTGGCCTCTTCCCTCCAGCCTCCAGGAAAGGGGCAGGACGCAGGTGAGCCATCCCCCTGCCCTCAGCTCATCGCCTTCCCCCCAGCCAGTGTCCAGGGGCCCTAGGCCCCTTGTCTGGCCCAACACTTCAGTCCGCTTCTGTGCCCGGGTGCGTGGGGAGGGGTATGGCGCAGGGTAGGGTGGCCAGGAGGGCAGGACCAGGGTTGGGACTGCGGGATGATCTGCCAGGGGGTGCAAAGGGCCAGGAGCGACTAGTCAGCGTTCCAGGTTTCGGGGCGGTGTGGGGGAGTCTGCCCGCAAGCTCCCTTGCTCCTGGTGTCGGGGTCGGGGGGGGGGGCGCCTCTGAATCCTCGGGTCTGTGGGGCTTGGCTCCTGTGGGCCAAGTCTCTGCCCCACAGGCGGGGCGAGAGGTCTTTCGGTGGCTGTCTCGACGGCCCGCCGCGGCCCGGGCGCCCGAGCCCGCCGTCCCGCCTTGCCTACCGCTACTCCCTCCTGCCGTTTCGGCGCGGGCTCGGGGCGGCTCCCGGCGGCGGCCGCCCGGCCCGGTGCGAGCGCGGCGCCCCGGCCCGAGGGCGGCGGGGGCGGCTCAGACGCAGATCTCGATGGCCGTGGCCAGCACCACCTGCCCTTTGCTCTTGTCCGGGCGGCCGTCGGTCCTGCCGGGGGGCCCCGGGGGCGCCAGGCCGGCCTCGGGCACGGGCACCGGCACGGGCACCGGCACGGGCACGGGCACGGGCGCGGGCCCGACGGCGGGGGGCGCGGGCCGGGAGCCGCTGCCGCTCTCGGTCAGCACCGTCCGCTTGAGCGGCCCGGGCGCCTCGAGGCGCAGCGGCCCGGCGGCGGGCGCGCGGTCCCCGGCGGGCTTGCGCGCGCGGTGCGAGGGCCGGCGCCGCAGCTCGGACGTGAGCTCGTGCTTGAGGAAGCGGAAGACCTCCTTGGCCGGCCCGCGGCGCTCGGGCTCCAGGGCCAGCAGGCGCTGGAACATGCGCAGCGCGGGCTCGGTGAAGCGGCGCCACTGCGACGGCAGCCCCGGCAGGCGGCCCCGCTGCCAGCGCACGAACTCCTCGAAGAAGGCGTCCGCGCCCGACGCCGCCTCCCACGGGAAGTTGCCGGTGAGCACGCAGAAGATGAGCACGCCGAAAGCCCACACGTCCACGCCCGTGTCCACCGCGAAGCCGTCGGCGCGGCCCGCCTGGCACACCTCGGGCGCCGTGTACGGGATGGTGCCGCTGACGCGCTTCACGCGGCAGCCCACGCGGCGCGTCATGCCGAAGTCCGCCAGCTTCACGCGGCGGCACTCGCGGTCGAACAGCAGCACGTTCTCGGGCTTGATGTCGCGGTGCACCAGCTGCCGCCCGTGCATGAAGTCCAGCGCCAGCCCCAGCTGCTGCACGCAGCGCTTCACGGTGTCCTCGGGCAGCCCCACCTGGCGGGCGGAGGGGCGGGGGGAGCCGCGCTCAGGGACGCCGTCCCCTCCACCCCCACAGATCCTGCCAGTCCCCTCCCGCCTACGGGTCCCCACTGCCGCCCGCCCCCGCCAGCGCCCCCCGCCCCCCCGCCCCGGCCTAGCCCGAGCTCCCGGTCGCATTTCCAGGGCTGACCCGCACTCACAACCCCCGCCCTCCGGCGCTGCCTCCTGGGCCATGCCTCTCCCCTCCCCCATCCCACCCAGGCACCCTCTGCTCTCTCTGTGGCCCGGTCGTTTTCATCCCGCACCCTTTTTCCGAGTCACTGCAGCCACAGCCCGGGGCCTGAGCGCCCACGGTGGGCCGGGTGCGTCATCAACCCCTCACAGCGGCTCTAACGCCCCTTCCCTTATCCCGATGTCCAGCTCTGAGAGGCCTTGCCGCTCACCCACTGAGCGCCAGAGCAGATTCCTACCGGGCACCACCAAATGCCGAGCTGGGAGCCCAGAATTTTCTGGGCACTCCTCCCAACTCCGGGGCACTTCCTCTGGGAAGCCTCTGGTGGCCCTGCGGCCTCTTCTCCCCTCTTGCGCCCCCCCCCCCCGCCCCCCAACTGTTCCTATGCAGCATCAGACCAGGTTGCTGAGGAGGGTGCTGTTGGACTTCATCCCACCCAGGGCCCACTCAGTCTGTCATCTGGCTTATTTCGCTGTGTCTGTTCCCCACCGGGATGAGTGCAAACCTCTGTTCATCGCTTAGCCCCCAGCCCTGTGGTGGCTGGCATACAGAAGGGGCTCAGTAAATGCTTGTTGATTAAATAAATGGTCTGACGGCTCCTGGAAGCTCCCACTGTGGGGACAGGAAGGCCGGCTCCCCTCCCTGTGCCTCCACACCCAGTACCTGAGGAGGAATGATGTCAAACAGGTCCCCGGCGGGCGCATACTCTTGGGCGAAGACATAGCAGTCCTCAGTCTCAAAGACCACGTCAAAGACCTTGATGATGAAGGGGCTGGAGGAGAGGCTGTTGGTGATGCTCACCTCCCGCAGGAAGTTCTTCAGCTTGGTCTTGCTCTTGTTCACAAACTTCAGTGCCATCTTCGTGCCTGGGGGAGGGGGCAGCAGCCACAGTGGTGAAGGCTCCAGGCCCCCATGCCTGCACCTGACATTCCCCGGCCTGCCCCCACGGCCCCTCCCAGCCCCGGGGTGGTGCGCACCCTCCCCATCTTACTGGAAGCACACTGAGATCCAGGGAGGACAAAGGACTTGCCAAAGGCAGTGAGGCCGGGGTCAGCCCAGGTCTTCTGCACCAGCCTGCAGGCCTCGGTGAGGATGGCCTGCTTCCCCCTCCCCTCTGTCCTTTCCTTCCTGACATGCAGCGTACTTATTCATGCCTCGGTCTCCCCCCGCCTCCCACGCTAGAAGGTAGCCCCCTGAGCGCAGGAATCTGCCTTGCTCATTGTATCTCCACTGCCTACAACAGTGTGGTGCATAGTAGGTGCTCAACACGTGTTTGTTAAATGGCCGACTCAGAAGGAGTGACACACTGAGGGGTGAGGGTCTGCAAGGCATGTGTCCCTGACTGCATGGGCAGTCATCTGTACCCTTTGTGACTACTGGGGTCTTGCCCTGGCTCAAAGCCTCTATAGCTGCGTGAACTTAGCTGAGCAATGGATCTCTGGGTCTCCGGGTCTCATCTGAGAAGTGGAGATGGCCAGTGACCTCCCAGGGACATCTCCCACCCTTCATTAAGCACGGTACGCTGTCCACTCCGCTGGGGTCAGTTATCACCAATGTGCCAATAATTCCGCTACCACCACCGCCAGCCCTGCCTTCTCTCCTAAGCTCCAGATGTCCTGGGGTCATGCCCTTGGCTGTCCCAAAGGTGCACAACCTGGCCCCAGAGCAGCCCACAATCCAGTCTGGGCCTCAGGCCCCGTCTCAGGTCTCTCTGGGCCGCCCAGGCTGCCTCTCTCCACCTGGACCACGAGCTCTGTCTCCCCGCTGACCTCTTGGCCCCGGAAGAGAACACCCACGGCCTCCTGGCAAGTCCCCAACCCAGCCTTCAAACCCGCCACCTGCAGATGCTCACCCGTGCCCTTGTAGGCCACCAGGTCGACCTTCCCATAGGTGCCCTTGCCCAGCTCCCGGACGAGTTCGTAGTGCTTGGTGACATCGCTAGCTGCTAGCGTGCGGAGGGTCAGTGCCTGCATGTCTTCAGTGAGGAGCGGCACGCCTGCACCCAGCCCAGGGGCGGCCCCCGGCCCACAGCAGGGCAGGGAGCGGGGTGGCTCGGGCTCCGGGCAGCCCACGCTCATCTTCTCCCTGTTGTGGTGGATGTGGCATGAAATGTGACATCGAGCCAGGGTCCCCCGGTCCACCCACCTCCTCCTTCCCCAGTACCTAGGGTCCCCGGGTGCCAGGCTCAGGATAACCACACGGGGGCGACAAGCATCTTTGCTGCATCCCCTTTCCCCAAAGCTTCAGGGCCAGGCCTGAGCCACAGTCACTGGCCCCGCAGTCCCCACATGGGTACCACTGTCCTGTCTGTCGCAGGCTATCATCCAGACACAGCATCAAACAAGGCACACGTACTTACATCACACAAAGACACTCCATATACCAAGTTCACATGGGTGCCCCTACTCACAAATCTTGATCAGCACCTGCTGTTCTCCAAGAGCCCTGGGCACACATACTAAACAGGTAAGAATCCCCTCCTCGTGGGCAAGAAACACAGTGAGCACATGAATTCTGTATTAGGATCAAAGGGGTTATGGGCTTCTGAGAATGTAAGGCAAGGGGTGGGGAAGGCAGGGTCTCAGGGCAGGGGTCACAGGACCAAATTCTTCAGCCAAGTAGTCGCAGACAAAACGCTGGCAGGGTGGTGCGGATGTGGCCACCCCTCCCCCTCCACAGACTACACAACCCCGCTCAGGTATACACAGCCACAAGTGTGGTGCCGGGCCCCACCTCCCTCCCACCAAGGCCGAGCGCGGCCCGCAAAGGGCCAGCCCTCCCCTACCTCAACCTCCACATTCACAGCCTGACCGACCCCTTCAGTATCCACACAAGCTGCTCCCACCCCTCAGAGGCATTTGTCCCCAGATGGCATTGGGGGGCCAGGGCGCTGCTTCCGGGAGAGCAGGGGGGTAGGGGGCTGAGTGACAGTGAACGCTCACCTGGGGCCTGCATTTCCTGTCTGTCAAGTGGAGGGGGGGGGCTGGGAGCAGGGCTCCCAGAAGCAGGTGCGCACAGGTCTGTGCCTGTATCCACAGGAGAGACCAGCCCCGGGAGCCTGCCTGCCTCCCTGGGCACCTCCCTGGCCCTCACCTCACTCCCTCCTACCTCCCATCCCAGGTGACTCACCCCACACTTCCCCAGCCCCCACCCCTACATGACCGCCCAAGGCTCTCTGATAGCCGACCTGGAGCTAGCCCCCCGGCTTTGAATCCAGCTCTGTCACCCACTAGCTGGATGGCCCCAGGCAAGTTACTTCATCTCCCCACGCCTCAGTTTTCCATCTAGAAAAAGGATGTATTAGTGCCTTTTCTCTATAGGCTGTTCAGCCGTGGAGTGCTTGGTGCCTGGCACACAGTAAGCGCTCAGTAAGTGCCCAGTGTGGTGTCGCACGCCCTTAGTGCGCTAGGCCTCCCCTCCAGCTGAGCCCTGCATCCTCACCAGGCCCAGCCGCTCCCCTTCCAGGCCCAAACCCTCTCCTCCTCCTCTGCCTTCCCCTTCCCTCTTGGCACGACCCAGCCTCCCACTTCACACCGAGAGGAGGAACATCAGGAGGGAACTTCCTGGCCTCCCACCCAGCCCCAAACGGAGCTCCATCTGCACGTCCTCCGGCTGCCTGGGGGAGCAGGGGGCCCTCCGCCCCTCCTCCGATTTGGTTCCTGCCCCTCCTGCTTCCTCAGGATCCTGCTCCCCCACTCAGCCCCCTTCCCCTCCATTCATGAGCAAGCCCTGTTCCACAGAACCTCCCCCCGCTGCAGGCACTGCCCTTCCTTCCCTAATTCCTTTGGTCTGAACGGATGCCAGGAGTCTGTCTGAAACGCCACATGAATGCTCTCAGACTGTAGCCTAGATTAGCCCATTTCGTAGACCCCTGGGGGGAGGGATGGCGCCAGGCCCATGGACACAGGGGCCCTGCTGCCCTGACCTCTGCCACGCTCATTGTGTCAAACCCAACTGGGCCATGGCACCTGTCACTGTCTCTATGTGGTCCCAGCTCCAGCCAGACGGTGCCCTCTTACTGCAGCCGCCAACCAGGCTAAAGTGGGTAGCATCTCCCCATAGGGGTCTTTCCTTGCCTTCAGGGCTAGAAGGGGTCACTGGTCCCAACCTCTATCAAATGTCCCCCCCCCCCCCCGCCGTCGTGGGGAGAATTCCTGAGTGAGGAAACCCAAGCGATCCGCTTTGAGGCAGCAGGGAGAGGTGAGGCTGTCTCTGGGCAAGTGGGGGCCCATCCCCCAGGGGGTCCAATGAGTACACACCCTCTTTGCCTTGAACTCTTCCCCCTGCCGGCCAGGGAGAGACGCCCGGCTGCTCTGCTGACCTACTTCTCCCGATGAGTGTGGACTCCCCGAGGACTGCTGCGCTGGGCGGGCCATGGGTGTGCAGGCACATGTAACACACCCGTGTGCAACGCTCCCACCTGGGGCTTTGGCCCTGCCAGTCACCTGGGACTGTTTCTGCATCCTCTGGGAGCAGCTGCAAGTTGCTAGAAGCTCTCTTCCCCCCTCTCCCCTCCTCCCTCGCCCAGAGATGTTGGGTGCAAGGCTCATCCTTGCTGCTTTGACCCCCAAGTTGCGCTGTGCAGGCAGCTGTTTGGGTCAGGGGTGCAGTCACAGCGGGGTGGGTTTGGGCCCCACGTGTGCCCCCTGCACTCTGGGTTTAGCCCTTGCTTTGACCACCACCCTGCACTGCCTCTCTGGGCTTCAGTGCCTTTCTCTAGTCTCCTCTGCCAGTCCTGCTGCCCGCCTTTATCTCCCCCTGCCCCACAGCCAATCTTCTCTTTATCCTCAGGTCCCACTCTTCCAGGAAGCCTTCCCTGCTGCCCCAGGTGCCGATTCCTGCCTCTTCTGAGCCCCAGGATTCAAATGGGGTCTGTGTGTCTCTCTCTGAAGGTTCCTGTTGAAGATCCTGGGGTGGTCTCCACTCTGTCCCCTGTCTGTCCCCATCGACAGGCCAAGAGCTCTCCGGGGGTAGTGACCACATCTAATCCAGCCATCTCTCATCCTTTCCCTTGGTTGCTAGGGCCCAGTTTTGGGACTCCCCACTACTGACCCCTCCCCCTCCTTCACAACCTCCCTCTCCCTTCAGGCCTGTTCTCTGCCAGACGTCAGCAGGCAACAAGGAATTAATCCACACAGCCCTCCCTGCCGTGGTGTCATAGCCCCAGGAACACACTGCCTCTGACCCAGTTCCGATGCATGTGACTTAAGAGGCTCAGTGGGGAGCTAAAGAAACAACACGGGCCTTGGAGCTCAGCAGGCTTGCCCTTGATCCTGCTGGGCGTCACTTTTTAGCTTTGTGACCTTGAGTGAGTCACTTGTCTGGGGAAAATAACAATAGCAATAGCAGCAACTAACACTGAAACAGGGCTTACTACCTGCCGGCCCTTGGTCTCAGGATGAGTTCATCTTATTCAACGGGTAGGTGTTATCATTAGGGCTGAGAGGAATGAGGCACAGAGAGCCTGAATGACTCGCCCAAGGTCATGCAGCCAGTGTTGGGATTGGCCCCAAAGCCGGTGCTCTAAACCACTATTTTCCCAAGTCAGAATGTTGGAGCATCTCATCCAGATCCCTTGGTATCCAAGTAGGGAAACTGAGGCCCAGGAGAGAGCAAAGCCTGAGCTGAAGATGCCCATGTGTTCACTCAGCTTCTGCTGAGAGGTGACTGTGTGTCAGGCATTGTTCATGGGTATTAACTCCATTAATCCTCACAGCAGTAGGTATACCAGCAACTTCCTTCAGGCGGGGGACTCCAGGCCAGAGAGTCAAGTAAGACACATCTGCCTCCCCGAGTGGTTGAGGGCAGGTACACCTGGCATCAGTGGGAACTTGACCTGAAGCTGTTTTGCCTTCATCACCACTGCCTCCACTTGAAGGAGTGGCTGTGGACTTGGTGGCTGTGAACTTTTCAGCAGCAGGTGGTGGAGGGGGCCCTGGCTGGCCCCCTGTTCATCTCATGTAGTTGGCACTAGTATTCACACTCAAGCCGACTGTGCCGTTCTGGGGGACCCCACGTGCTTTGCACCTCAAGTGAGTGTGTCCTCGCCAGCCCCGAGGGAGGCCCTTGGTTTCCGGTCTGTGTTGCTGAAGGCAGGTGGGTGTCACCCAGCCTTCCCGGCAGCAGTTGTGGCTCTGGCCCTGTGGGCTGGGTCTTCCGCCACATGCTGGGAGGTCTTCCCAAGCCAGGAGCAAGACTGAACTGCCTACCACTTCCTGTTGGCAGGTGGCTTGAGCTGGGTGCCTCTCTTATGAACACTATACCCCATGCACAAACTCAGAGCTACTTTGGGACCTCCCTTCCCTCCCCTCCCCGACCACATGCACACGCAGTGCCAGTATGGCAAAACGTCACTCACTGAGGCCTCCTAAGTACCCTGAGAAGGGCAAGATGCCGCCTGTTTAAAAAAAAAACAAAACACAACTGAACTTAGTACACACCACAAAATTTACCCGTAGTTGGCATACCATTCGGTGATTTTAGTAAATGTCCACTGTCGCAATCAAGTGATGCTTTCTATCTTATAGATGAAGAACAGAGGCCTAAGAGGTTGGTGATTTACTGTGGTTCTGGCAAAGACACCCAACTGTCCACCAAAACTTTGTGTTCCCAATTTCATAATACAGAGCTGCTGCTGGAGGGTCGCTGTCAGCAGGAAACTGCATTTCCTGCCTGCCTCGCATCTGGGTGTAGCCATGTGACCAGTTTTCCCCAATGGAATGTGAGCAGCAATGATAGATGTCACTGGCTTTTAAGAGTGGGAGGAGTTTCTCTATTCTCGTCCTCTGTGTGCTAGCATGATGCGGAAGCCTCCTCGGTCCTACACGACGTGGGGCTACAGGAGAGGAGGAGCCTGGGTGCCTGGCTGTAGGAGGTCTCCTGCCAAAAAGGATTACCCACTCTGCATTTTATGGGAGCCAGAAGGAAACGTCCACAGTGTTAGGCTGCTGAGATCAGGGGCTTGTGTGTTACAGCAGCTAGCACTGCTCTAATCCCAGGATTATGTAGCAAGGAGGCCAAGGAGGTAGGATTTGAACCTCGGTGTGCGCAACCTGCCTGGAGGGGGACCAGTCTGTGGAGAGAGA